TTAAGTTTGTTTCTAGATAGTTATTCTTGAAATTATATTGTTTCTCAGAGAAGGATTTAATAATAATAATTAACAACTGTATAATAATTCTGCTGCAATTTCAAAATTGCAAACCTGTAAATTCCTTCTGTCTAATCTCGAAAATTGAGTTAGATACATGAAAGCAGAGACCGGATATGAAAAGCTTAGAGACCAGAGGGCCAATTAACTATATGTGAACTTCCAGTTTAGACTGCAAGTCACATTATTTCAATTCAAATATTTTCTCCAGAACAGAGTTATAGATGATCAGCACAACTGTATTGTTAACAAGAAACATATGGTCCGGCCAGGCATTGTAACGCCGTCACAATAATAATTGCTCGTTCCCTGTTGTTTTCTGTGCATATGTGCCTTTTTGATGGATTTGTGAAACTTCCAATGGCAAATGATATGTGCCATTGGAAAAATTCTTTCCATGATGCATGGAAAGAATTTTTTATGTCTATAAAAGTGCTCTAAGTTTAGATGGGTTTGTGGTTGCAAGTTTAAATTGGCCCATAGCCTGCATTGCATGACCCGTGCCCGCTTTTGGACCTACTTTCTAAAGATGGATAATCTCAAGTTATTCGCAAGAAATTATGGTATTTTCTAAACAGATCTTAAAAATATACATATAATATATTGAGTAGTCCCAAACATAAAAACTGCACTGTAACAGTTTAAAATGATATATATAATTTCAAGAATTTTGGCATAAAATGCATCGGTATGGAACTGGTAGCAGATAATACCAGTAGTCTAGATTTATACAAAGCAAATCCAAAAACACACTTTTGTCTTTTGGAAATGGAATGTTTGAATGGTCGAGATTCTATTTTTTTTTTTTTTAAACAATTTTCTGCCGACCAATTTTTAATATTTTCAAGTGAAACGTAACACAGATTATGCTGGTCGTTTACAAAATATGTAAGTGTACTGTGTATCGGTTTTGTAAAATTCATAACTGACTAGAATAAATAAATAAATCTAACATTTGCCAAAATCCCATAAAATTTTTTCATCTAGAAAATAATTAAAACATGTATAATGTCCTTAGTGATACAAAAAAAATGGCACCTCGAATGGGCTTCAGTCTTGTTTGTCCGACTTTCCCTCGACCATGGATTCGCCAAACTCAACCCTCTTCGTGTCGACAGGATACAGCCTTAAAATACAATTCATATTTAGAGATATTTGAAAATTTACATATTATACCCAATTGTAAAGCAAAACTTGACTCACCAACGTTGATATAAATAAACGAGAAAGACGATGTCGTCTCTGAAACATGCCACCCTGTGAGCTATTGGCATGGTGATGATGAATGCAAACAGGTCGTCGATAAATGTGTTAAATGCCTAAAGAAAGTTTGCATTTTTAGCATAATATCGTCATTAACTCTGACAAATAAGACAATTCTTCCTCACCTTATACATAAAGGATCTCCAAGGGAGATGGGCAACAGATTTTAACTTATAATTAACAAAGAGTTGGGGAAGCATGAACAAGAAACCAAATGCATAAACACCTACAAAGTAATTAATAAGGATTTATAAATGCTTATAATGAAAAAATTATATATAAATAGACGTATGTACTGTACATACCATTTACTAAGCTATGTATGCACCATGAGTACCAGCTGAAATGCAAAAATAAACTTTTATCATAAAGCATTCTAAAAGTCATTTAATGAAATGGATACAATACACACACCTTTTTTGTGGAACATAAAACAGGGAAACGTTACGACCGTTCATTGTCCAAAATGAAGAAAAGTTGCGCGCGGTCGTAAGTCATGCCTCCATGTCCCAAGTGTAAAACTTGGTTTTTAAATTTTACACATTTATTTATAGAAGAAGCGTTATTTTGCAAATTATTATCATCGACTTTTTATTAAATTNGTATGTACTGTACATACCATTTACTAAGCTATGTATGCACCATGAGTACCAGCTGAAATGCAAAAATAAACTTTTATCATAAAGCATTCTAAAAGAATTTAATGAAATGGATACAATACACACACCTTTTTTGTGGAACATAAAACAGGGAATATACAGCACCTCCAAGGCAGAGAGGATATAGAAGATATGATAAATATTTCATGCTCTAAAATGAAAATAATATTGTTATAATTAATTTCGTTAGTCTGTCTATAGAAAAAATTGACTTGAGATCATTATCAAGTGTGATGTGGGTTTGGTTAAACCAATCAGCACATTCCCTAATGATATCAATGCCTTGTTAAAAGTCAATGGTGTGTGGGTTTGGGATGAAAAGTGACAATGCCCTTTTATTATCAACAAAACCATTTGTTTGAAGTAAACTTCTTAAAAGCTTCACATCTGAATACATGGAGGGAGAGAGAAAAAAATGACAAATTGTCTCATGTGTACAGAGTGGTCAACCAATAAGTACTGTTTGCAATAATTTTAGTTCGGACTAATTATTATCCTGTTTGTTGATTTGTGTCATGACTAAAAATTTCCTATTGCTCTACACCCAAATCTTATGACTTGAATGAAGTGACGTTTCCAATCTGTTCTTTTACATGGATTGAGTTTTACGAAATTAAATCAATCTGGGTGAAGATTTTATGATTATGTGAACAATCCGAATTTAGGAGATTAGTTCCTAGTTGTCAGGAAGAAAAGCAATGCATTGCTATTATCTTGTGAGGAAATCTTAATGATAATGGCAGGTGTCATCCAAAAGGATATTAATCTTACACAAGAGTAACAGAATTAAAGAATGAAACAAAGTAGTAGGTCAGTTAAGAATTTTGAATCCTCACAAAGATTAAAAGTTAAAGTTACATTCAAATAAAAATTTTAACAGTTAACAAAATTGGATGAAAAGAAATATAAATTAAGAAATCTGCCAACACTCCATAGGTTTTAAGGCAAGTGTTGGAATAATAATAACTGATAAATCATCTGTGATATCCCATTTTAATCAGAGAATAACAAAGTTTGAACTAAAGAAATAACCAAAACTAATGCCAACCACAAACTGGTTTTGTACAACTGAACAAAGCTCTCATTTGATTTGGAAGATAGTAGTGACAGCAATAACATGCAGTTATGGAGAAGACAAATATCACACATGTCCATCTGATGATATACAATAATACACTGAACGTCCATCTCTCTGCCAAGTAAGATAGCTTACAAATAAAATTACAAATATATTGTATGCATTTTGGCTTAATCTATAGGCAAGATCCACTAAAACTACAAAAACTTGTTGGCTTATCAGTTTTCAGTTGTTTCATCTTAAACTGATCATTCTGTAAGCATTAATATTTCTATACAGTATCAAACTTCTTTTAGAAAATAAAAATACGAAAACTTCTGACATTTAAACTGTAAAAAATATTCTCGTATAATGTAAATTAATGATATGAAATTCATGTATTTAATAAAAATAATCAAAAATTTGAACCACAAACATAATTTACTTTTATATAATCAACTCATTTTACATTTCCTACTTATTTGATAGTATTTAAATATTTGTTGGTCAACCAGAGCACACAAAGACAAAATGAAAAATGCATGTTTTACCCTATAAAATCCCAAGTTATAGAAATTGCATACATTGCATGATTTATAAGTCATATAAAGTTAGCCATTAATATTTTGCCAATAGTTGTGGTATAAGTTCAAGATAAATGTGACACTGTGCTTTTGTTACTTTCATATTTTTTCCAAGACTATTGTTCTGAATGAGTTGTGTCTTAATTGGCAAATTACTGGCATTCTGTTCAAATGCATGTGTTATCATGCTAATAAAATGTCTATCATTTCAATTGTCTTCAGATAGTCAAGTCTATAGACAATAAATCATTACAAAGTTTATTCAAATTAAAATTCAGTTATAAATCATAAGACTAGTGAAACTTCACATCTTTTTCTTCCATATTGGGACTATCTAAATTTTAAATCAGAGACCAAGATTTTCTTAAAAAAACAGCTACTTTTAAAAAACAAGTGGCTTGATTGCTATGTTGGAAATCTGAAGATGGATTAGGAAAAATTTAATCCAAAATGCATTGCTGTTTATAAAGGAAAAAATAAAACTGCTGTGTTTGAATCAACTATTATTTCTAAACTTATAAATTTTAGAGTAAAAGTGTCTTATCAATTTGTCCCCCTGTACACCTCAGGATTTCATAATGTAGTTTGAGTAAGGTTACTGCAGAGTCCTCCTTGGACTACACTATACAATTCTGAGATGTAAAAAGATGACAAACAATGAAGACACTTTTACTCTCAAGTTCAGAAGTAACACTAATTATAATCATAGTCCGGGAGTTTTAATTATTTTATAATTTTAGTTTGAATTTAAAAAATTTTTTTAAAAAATCTATTATAACTCTTGTTTTATTGAATTTTTAACTTGTCTCATAATTTGCACATACAGGAGCTCCCTTATTTACAAATGTTCAACTTATGAACTTTCAGACATATGAATAATTCGACCATATGTCAAAAATTTAAATTTCACACAGATTCTGAAGTTCTCTTGCTGGTTGTGAGATGGTGCTGAATCAGTCTTTAACCAGTAATAAATAATAAATTTTAAAAAAATAATTAATGTGAACTTATTTCTATTTTGCATCATCATTTTTCATTTTTGTGCAAATTCCAATGCTCCATCACCGAGAGGTGACATTGTAGTCAATAGCACTGGAGTAACAGCATTTTTCCTATTTGCAATTTTTTAAAGTTTTATGATTAGTGCTTCAAACATGCATCCAAAACGTAATAGTAAATCTAACAGTGGAGATAAATGCAAGAAGTGTCGCTCTATTTCCATTGATGAGTTCTGCTATCTTTGCCCATGGAACGTTGGTCCATTTGGCAAGCAAACAATCTTAAAGTTCTCCACAGGAAGCGTTTTTCATAAATGTCACCACACTGCACCATCCATCAGATTCCAGACTTGCTCAATAAGATTTGTCAGGTGACTGACTGGTTTGTAAAAGTTTGCAGATTGTGCTGCCAGCAATTCAATGTCTTTTCGGCAGTGTGACGAGGAGCTCCATCATTTGTAAACAGACTGGAAGTTCAATATGGCAATGTATTTTTCAAAGTTAATTTTGAATCCTGTGTTTGCTGACATTCAGGGTGTCTACAGACTTATGAATTGTCTCTGTGCATTAAACTATTTTTTTAATTCATTTCATAGTTTCAAATCACATCTTGGACACAATTGTTTACATTTACTGGGGATTACTGTTCACAGAGTACACAATGGTCATGATAATGTATATTATACTTACTCAGAATTAAAAATAACCACTAATGAAAGAAATGAAAACTTGAATCTTACGCAATGCTTTCGTTATTATAAGAATTTATTTTTATAAACTAACAAGTAATATTTATTTATCTTTAAGCTAAAGTAAATATGTTTTTCCCCACTTAAATAAAAAAAAAACTAACTTACTTGAGAATCATACATTGCAGTTTCTTTTTCATCATTGCTCGTACTTCCAAACTGTAATTCACAAAATCGAATTCAGTAATAGTTAATTTTTTAATATAGAAACTAACAATAAATTCATACGCTTATTTTTGGTTTCCATCCAATCCAAGAAATATTCATTTTTGATGCTTTAGTAACTTTCCATAACTATAACAAAATTTTATTATATTAATAATGAAATTACATTATAGTTTATGTTATCTGAAGGATTACCTCAATGACAGCTGCAATTCCCATAGGAATTAAAACCAGCA